AAAAATTTCTGGAACGACATATTGACCTAACTTTCCTTGCAGTAGATGCAGCTATTGATTCAATGTAGTTGCTTCACTTAAAATCAGCGGAAAACGTGAGGCGAAAACGGCGCAGTGTGTTGCTCCCTAGGAGTCTGATGTCAGCCATGTTGATGTCAAGCTGAAAATGATGGTTAAATGAAAGCAGTTTAGTTTTGAGGCGTTAAGATTTACAAGCCATTTCTTGCCCCGGTTAACCACTGATTAGAGGTCCTTTTCAAGAGTAGCTGTCAGGTTTGTCAGATCTGATGGTTTTGTTATTGAGACAGAAATGAATAATAGCTTCATTTTCATAAATACCTAGTTGGGAACTGATGGCTTTGCGGTCATCATTAATGATGATTAGAAATAGCGTCGGACCTTTAAAGAAAAAAGTAATGAGATAAATAGATAGGGTAATGTAGCCATTGTTTTGGGGTCCCAGTAGTAGAACTGCAGATAAACTAATGTCTTTTGTTGCCTACGTGGTTAGGAAATCTTTAAAAGGAAAAGGTAGCGTAATAAATAGATAGAGTGATGTAGCCATTGTTGCGGTGTCCCAATAGCAGAAGCGTAGAGTAGTTTAGTTCTTTTAGTGCTTTTATAGGAGTGGGGGTTGTCCTTAAAATGAATATGTACCGTGATAAATAGATAGGGTGATTCAACCCTTGTTTTGTGGTCCCAGTGAGGACCTCTTCAAAAACAAAATGTACGGTTACAAATAATAGGCGTATGCTCCCATTGTTTTGGTGTCACTGAACAGAACTGTAGATAAGCTAATGTTTTCGGGTTCCAACATAGAGAAGATGATATTAAGGTAAAAATGTAATGTGATAGGTAACCATAGAAAACCTAATGTCCTCTTATACCTTGAGATCGAGCTATATGATGTCCCTAATAGGATAAAGGTAGAGTTCGAGATAGGAGGAATAGGTATATGTTCAATAAATGGCCGAAAAAACAGCATAGCGTTGTGAAAGACGACCCCAAACTAAATAAAAACAAAGTTTTATCGTGAAAAAGTTTATTAATATGAAGAAAGATCAAAGTATTTTTAATTATTAAAAAAAAAAGTTTTTCTTCATTTCTAGCACGTTCGAAATTTTGGTTGAATATCTTGTTTTTTTTTTAAACGTCAGTCGTCGCGTAATATTTAGCATTAGTTTTTTTACGCGATTTTTCAGTTGAACAACGCATTAATTTGGAAATTCCTGTAAAAATTAAACCATTGTCGGATTTTAATGAAACTTTCAGAACTTATTCAAAAATAAATTAAATTATTTTAGAAATGTTTGTTTTTTAGAAAGTCATGGTAAAAATATTTTGTTTTACATCTGTTACCCACTTATTTATTTTATGAATACTCGAAGACTCGAATATGTGTATTTTTGTAATTTTTTTAATTAAATGCAGAAGATTTTGAAAAATATAAATCATCGATATTTTTTGTAAATTGAAGAGCGTTTTTATCCAAACTTTAGCTCTAAATTGTAAAATACAAAACCTAATAAAACTAATACATTATTTAAATAAAAAAAGCTTTTAATGGCTTTTATGAATATTAAAGGATATTATTGTCTGAAGTCTAAATATTTTTTCGATGAAAAATGAATTTTTACAAGAATTGTTTTCTATTTTTCAATTTTAAATGCAAAATGTGAGAAAGTTGTTAAATATCTTAAAATTAAGTTTGAATACGTTTATCTCTGGAAATGCTTTTATTAAAAGATTTATTTTTATAGATCTTAAATTTGAAAGCTTATTACAATATGTTATGCTCCCATTGTTTTAGTGTCACTGAAGCAGAACTGTAGATAAGCTAATGTTTTCGGGTTCCAAGATAGAGAAGATGATATTAAGCGCTTCTATTTTTACAACAATTTTTTAATATGCGAAAAAATGTATTGAAAACGTTTCCGGCAAAACTACGGAGACAATTGAGAAATAACATCACGTATTTTAAGAGTTGTTTCTCTTGATAGCGAAGATCCGGCTTCATAAATTGCGTTGATTTCGTGTCAAATTCTCTGACTGACCGGCCATCATCATCGCATTTTCAAAATTTTTAATTTTCTTTCTTTTTTTTTTTAAGCATATTTCACTAAATATTTTCTTTGCACTTTTTTTTTTTTTTTTTTTTTTTAAATATAATCAAATTTTTCTTTTTCAGTGAGAGACATACTGAAATTATTATTTTTTTCTTTTTTAGATTCAACTTTAGGGACGGAAACAGTGTAGGCCTTGGACATATCTTTGGACAGTACCTAAAAGATCAATAAAATATTTATACTTTTGAAAGTATTTAATTTTTAAAAATTACTTTATAGTTAAATAAGCTGATTCACTTAAAATTCGAGAATACTGTCACTTTTGTCCTTCCATCCGTTAAGTTGCCCTGACATTAGTTGTCAATACATTGACGTAAATGTCAATTCACACCTCCAAAACCAATCACCACGGTTAGACATGATTCTCTTATTTCCAACTAATTTTTTCTGCTAAAAATTTAAGTAATGTTTGTTCCCAATTACATTAAGTATATTAAAAATTTCTATTTTTCCTAAAATAACTTTTGAAAAAAGTATAATTGAATTTTACAAGATTTTTAAACGGTTAATTTCACTTTTGTTCACAAAGTTGTGAAACATGGCTGATATGATCGATTTTATGTAAATTTTATTGACTCACCCCCCCCCCCCAAACAGGGTTTTTAACATTAACATTTTAAAAATTTCGCACGTGCTAGAAAGGATTAAAAATTAAAAAAATACTTTGGTCTTTCATTATTTAGACGATGAAAAAATTGTTTAATCAAGTTTAGGGCCTTTATTTCATCAAGGTATACTCTTTTTTTTTTAGCGAAGTATTGAATTATACCTAGTATAATACGTTTATGTTGTACCAGTGTTACCCGTGAGGAAAATTTGCCTAGAAATTCAGCATTCATATACTGATAAATATCTAGAGCCAGGGAAAGTGCTTACAATCCCAGAACCCTAAGACCAGAGTGTGGCAAGTTTGAGCGGGGCTCCGAGAAGTGCTTTGTGCCTCTCGTCACCTAATCATCATTTGATTTTTTTCTACCTATATTTATATACGTTATCAATTGAACACAGTATAAATGACTATTAAATTGAAAAACAAATTATCTTGGGTTCTGTTTTTTGGTTTTTTGTCAAAACCTGTGAATGTCTCGGAAAAAAACCCCCAAAAAACTATCACTATTTTTTATCCATAATGTTGAATGTGTTAAACTTACCTAATATTTAACAAGAAAAATCTGAATTTGTTGTTAAAAATTGCCGCAAAACATTGTTGATTTATTTAAGATAGAATGATCTATTATGACATGTCTCTAATTTGTAGATACATTGTATTTATTTTCAATATTTCTAGTTGAATTGGTCACCCATATTGCATAGGATCCATTATTGTACATAATTAGGTTACAATAAAATTTGTATTATTTATGAATACTAACTTAGGATAATAGAGATGTAGTAGAGTGGGGGGCGTATGATAGATTTTGGAGGAATACTTACATTGGTGGGGGTACGAGACCCTTGTACCGACACTGTTTAGGGTAGAACACTGGGGTTGTAAAAGATAGTGGATGTAAAAGAAGCACGTTACTCAACCTAGAGATGGGGACTGATAGATAATTAGTAAGCTAATCTGGTTTAAGAGCAAACTGGGGGAATTATTTGAAGAGATATGTTGCATCGATTCTTCAAGTGTTTTAAAAATCAGTCGTTAAAATTTTCATTTTTTTTTATCTGAACCCGAACCAGCGAGGAGAGAAAAAAATCTCTAAGAGGACCCTTTTAGCAAATACTTTGTGTTTCTGTTTTTCATGATTTGATCCGAAGCGGAAATTTCATTTTTCAAACTTGTCATATTTTAAAGTAACGTGTATGAAAGAAATTCAATCTTCTCTGTCGTTGTGACACTGTAACTCTTCCCCACAAATCAACACCGGATACTTCCGCTTCGAGTTTCACGCGACCGGGTAAATTGCTCATCTTCGTCCACGCTGATCCCTATTCATCCAACTAGGTTTACTAGCCTTCCTTTGAGTTTTGGTTGGTAGAAATATACTATTCTTTTCTTTTTCTTTTCTTACTGTTTTATTTTTAAGCAATTTAGAGAATTATATCCCTTAAAGGTCAGACTTGTGAAACTTAATCGCCTGTGTATGCATTTTTTTCTCTAATCTTACCAACAAATTGAAAAAGAAAGAAAGAAAAAAAAAAGCAATGAATTTAAGGTAGATTTTATTTTGTGAAAGAGATCGCCCTTTCAACGAAAATGCCAGAAATATATGCCTGCAGATGTTGAGCAAGTCTTTGTACCATCATAACCAAAGAATGGACTAGAATTTCTTAGGTTCAATGTCTGATATTCTTCGGGCTATATTTTGTTATTTTGAAAAATATTTTGTTTCAAACAACTATTGAAAAATTAAAATAATTTAGAAAAAAAAGAAAGAAAAGCGAAATTGTTTACGTAATCGGAATATTCTGAAATATCCGATCTGAAATAAAATATGACTGCGATTATTAATTAGTGAAATATGTTTTTTTTTTTTTTGCTATTAGAAATGTTCTTTTTTACATATTGAAGAATTTCAGAAAATAATTAGAATGTCAAACTGGAAAGTAAGTAGATTTCCTGTTGAGAAATTTTAGGTGGAATTAATTGGAATGCCAAAAATTTCTTCGTATTTGCTCTACGAAAAGTATCAGGAGCATGGCAAATATTACGACGAATTTCCATTTTTATTCTTTATGCCATCAGCCCAGACCTTTACATCTATGACCCACCTTGCTACATACACAGAGCTGAATCGCCCTGATTCGTTACGTAAGCTTTTTCATCAGAATCGCTACTTTGCGGAACTTGCTCCCGCGTGGGTGTTTTTCAGAATATTACCTCTTCAGGGTAAATAGTTAACTATCCCATATATTCTTGTAACCTTGGCTTACAGTCACATCACGTTGAAACACCGGTTCCTGTACGATCACCGAAGTTAAGCAATATCAAGTTTGGACAGTACCTAGATGGGTGACTGCTTGGTAAGAGAAGGTATTGTAATATTGGATGTGCGGGTGGCGTAATAGATAATGGCTCGGAATTATTAATCAGAGAGCGGAGTTCCAATTCCAGTCGGGTTCATTATATTCACTTACGCGCAAATACCCTTGGAAAAACCACCTCCCCCCAGCTATGGGTTAATTAGTAAGACATGTATCATTAAACCATTATTATCGAAAAAATTCGTACAAAATATATAGATTTCGGAATTAATAACACATAGAGGGTGACAAGCTGCTAAACAAAATCAACCAACCAACCTTGTAATGTTCACTTCCTACATTTACATTTATATCACGCACCTCATTCAGGAAATCTCTACTTGGAGTGGCTCTTGGGACTTGGGCTGTGTGAACTTTGCTAAAAAAGTAAGATTTATTTTTCAGTAAACTTAGAAGATGGAAAAATGTGACACTGAAATCCGGAGTCACATTGGAATAGCGAAAGATGCCTTCCGAAAGCTAATGAAAGTATTAAGAAACAGGAAAATCTCGTTAGAAACAACGAAAAGAGTACCGAACTGTTATATAATATCAGTCCTCCTATATGACCGTGAATGCTGGACAAGAAGCAACAGAAATGTGGTTCTACAGAAGGATGCTGAGAATACTATGGATCAAATATGCGAGCAACAACGAAGCTTTAGGGTAAATGGAAACAAAAAAGACATATACATAATATGAGGAAGTTATAGTTGAAATTTCTATCGCATATAATGAGGAAAGAGGGCCTGGAAATTTTGATACTCACAGGACAGATTTTCTAAGCGTAACTTAGATGTGGCACAAGGCCGAAAGTATGGCGTACCTAGTGAGGATCGAACTCACTTTTCAGTCGTAACTGATGTAGCGAAATAAGCTTGCTAACCATTGCACCACGACGAGGAACCCAAATTGCAGGCAAGAGTGACAGAAGAACACAAGTCAAAATCTACCGGGCGAACTTCAGTAAATGTATGGCGGAACAAGATTTAGGGGAGACAGCGAAATCACAAAATCTATTAAGTGCTAAAAAGGACAGGAAATTGTGAAGAGCCATGATCACCTACGACATGAAGGGTCACGGCACACAGAGAAGGTAGCGTAGATAATCATGGATTTTATTGATACATGTCTAACGACGAAGAAAAAAACAGCTTTCTTATTCATTTTGTTTGTGTGTGTGTGTGTGTGTGTGTGTGTGTGTGTGTGTGTGTGTGTGTGTGTGTGTGTTGCTTGGAAACAGACCTTCACCAGTTCGGTTCAGGCGATAGACTAGTTTACAGCCTACACTCGATTATGAAGTTTCAACTTGCAAGCCTTTGCAAGAGTTTAAGCAGTTGCGGTAAATTTGTTTTGGTGTTTGAGCGGCAATGTTTTTGCGCGCAAACTTTGCTAGCAAAAATGACTAAAAGTCACGCATGCGCAAAAAAACACTTTTTGTTGTTTACCTTCTCCAAAATGGTTAATGAAACGGAAAATCAACATGGCTGGGGGCTGCATGTACTGAACAAGGAAAGAGTGTGAAGCCCACAGATGAGTCGGAGGAAAAAGAAATAAAAATGGGCGTTGGAGAGCAATTCAGGCAGGTGGAAAATTGGTCGAACCTTGTCATTATAACATGTTTTTCTGTGTTGTCAGTAATACTTAAGGCATTTGCGATGGAAAGAAATCGACGATACTTTGCTTGTATGTTTGTACTGAGTACAGCCAAATATGAAATTATGCTTGGTTGTGTAAGTGTGCAAAGTTTGCAAGATCAAATCTTTACCGAAAAAGTACTGGATTTACATGAAATAACAAGCTTTTTTTTTCAGATAGTTCCATGAATATGTTGGTTGAAGTTTTCACGTATATTCCACTGACTCCAGTGTTCGATCACAGATAAAAGCCAAAATGTGGAAATGCTGATTTTCAAAGAGAGCGGCCACCCCTACTTACAAGACCAGTGGAAAAACAACCCTCCTCCTCTTTTATAGTATGATCTAGTGTTTTACTAACTTAATCTGGATCAATGTCTCCATTTGTGGCTGAGAGGGTTCTAATTATCCTATTGGTGTGAGTGAGCGGTGATTGAATTTATTTTGTTACGCCTCTGCACCCAAGCGGCCGGTGTACCAGCCGCTGTGTGGAAGTGCATATACTCGGCCGGCCAAGGGTACCTCGAGACGGTGTAATGGTTAGAAAGCTTGTCTCGCTAGAACAATTATCGACTGAGTAGTAAGTTCGATCTTCACAGGGTGCCTCCTACTTTTGGCCTTGTGCCACATCTAAGCTACGCTTGGAAAATCACTATACCCGTGCGGCCGGAGTCATGAACAACAAAGAGGAGATCCGCACTCAACAGGACATCAAGTTTTAATTAATTTTCCTTTTGGATTGGTTGGTTGATTTTGTTTAGCGGCATATCAACACCTCTATGGGTTATTTAATGCTGAAATCTAAATATTTTGAACATAATTTTATGGCTTCATAAATATATTTTAAACAGTTGTATGCCATCAACTACACTTAAAATGTACTGTTGGTCATTTTGCTATAGAAATTAACCAACCAAACACTGAATGTCGTCCACCATCTAAGTACTAACCAGACTCAATGTTGCTTAACTTCGGTAATCGTATGGGAACCGGTTTTTCAGCGTAATGTGGCCATAAACCTTCCGTTTTTAAGAACCAGTTGTAATGCCGAATGTGGTGGTTGATTTTGTTTAGTGGCATATCAACACCTCTGTGGGTTATTTAATGTCGAAATCTCTTTTTTTTTTTTTACATAATTTTATATTTTCAGGGTTAGATATATAGTTTGTAGATGATAAAATGTAATGTTGGTATTTTTAAAAATGTATTGCGGCCATTTTGCTACAAAAAATATTGTCGTTAATTTTTTTTTAATCTAAAAATTTATCGCTAGTAAATTTTTTTTATAAAAATGTATTTTTATATTTTTTAGCGTTGCATTGATTGCCATTTTGCTATAAAAATATATTCTTAGTTATTTTACTATAAAAATGACCTGTTGATTTTTGTTTTGGATTTCACTATTTTCCCATAGATGGAGCCCTAACAGGTGCTACCACCACAGGTTAGAGTGAACCTGAGAACAACAGTAGTTCAATCAAAATTTGAAATCTTTCAATCAGAGGTATTGCTGCTGGATGTAGTTTATCGTCTTACCCAGGATGATAATGATGAATGTATCATCCTAACTACTAATCATACGTGGCAGTTAAGAATAAATTTGGAGTGCACTAACATACTTTAGTTTTTGTATGGTAGTGGCAGCGTACACGGTGGATAAAAGAATCCATTTTTGAACCCCACCAATAGAGGGATTGAAATTGCATTTACATCCCATAATTTTTTTATGGGCGTTCGGGAAAAGGAATAACATTATGAGACAGCGAGAAAAATATGTCGGTTAAAGCCGGGCAAAAATAATAAACCCCTTTTTTTTTGTTTTTTCAAATTATCCTCCCGATCCTATAATTAAAGACAAACACGGTTATTTATGCTGTACATGAACATTGGAGTTAAGTGAACATTATGATGAAGAGTTATTCCGGATGTCATTTCAATTTAAGGACTTGAAAAAAAAAAAAAAGGAAATTGTCAAATGTTGCATTACGTAACAGGCAGTGGGGTATAATGTAACATGGTGGGGTAAATTGTGACAACGAAGATTAGAAAAACGAAATCACTCTGATACCAGATTTATGCTTCAAATCAAACTTTATTTAACTTTAACAAACATAAAATTATAATTTGATAACAGTCGAAAAAGAAATAGAACTGTCTTACAATATACAAAATAAATGAAATTCTACTTACATGTGTCGTACGTTAGTTTTCCGTTGATATTCAAGGGATCAGGCGAGAAAAGGGTTGCAACATTGAGAAAATTATACAAGAGCCCATTGCAGTGTGAAATAATAATCACTTTTTACTACGTGATGCTTTGTGCACCACTTTTGTGCACCCTATTGTTTCATGGTCAATGTCTGATAACTGATCAGCATCTACGATTCGATTCGACTCGGTTTATTTTTTTAGGGCTTTTGCAGGTTATTTAAAACAGGAAAATATTTTTATGCTTTTTTTTTCAGATTGTAATAATTTTGCGGGCATAATAATGGCTTAGTGATGCAACTGTTACTAATTAACCCAAAGCTGGAGAGAGAAAAGTTGGATTCATGCCTTTTTCATTTGCCAGTAAATGAATATAATGAACCCGACTGGAATTAGAACACGATTCTTCGATTAAAAATTTCGAGTCGTTATCCATTACATCACCCGTGCATCCAAGCCTACAGCACCTGGTATTCCCATACCCATCTAGGTTTTGTCCAGACTCGACGTTGCTTAACTTCGGTGACCGTATGGGAATCGGTGTTTCGAGGTGATGTGGCCGTAAGCCAAGATTAACAATTTCAAGTCGTTATCCATTATGCAACTCGCACATCCAAGTTAACAATACCTAGTAATCCCAATCTGTCACCCATCTTGATACTGAACAGGCTCAACGTTGCTTAACTTTGCTGATCGTACGGAACCGGTGTTTTAACGTGATATGGCCGTAAGCAGCAAGTACGAAATTGGTTAACAAAAAAAAAGAAAAAAAAAAACCTCGTTGATAAAGGTCATTGGGAGTTGAACCTGGACCAGGGCGTTCATCAGACTTTGACGAAAAAACTTTAAAGTCATTAGTAAAAGGCGATTGTCGGCAAAATACTCAGGATATCTTTTTTAATCAATTCACTCCTAGCAAGGTGATAATGCCACTAAGATGCAAGGAGACTACTGGGAGTTAAACAGAATGAAAAATACTTTAGAAGGAACCCGAAACCGAATCCTAAACAGGGAACAAAGGTTAAACCTCTGCTCCGGTTCAAAAGACCGAGGTGTGGCGAACCTTTCTACTCCTAATGCTAAACACACAATAATTTATTTACATTATTCGGGCTATTGTCCTCAATTTTATTGTCATATTCACGACGTTTCGATCGTTGTACGCTCCGGCCTTCTTCAAGTGATTGGAATTTCGAACCGAGCCCTTTATTTCGTCCATCGGTGTAGATTGTTCTAGTTCCATGTGTCATACCTCTTCCGGATGTCTTAGTTATTTCCCTTTAACTCAACATCTTTTTTTTTTTGATTCACCACTGCTGTGGTCTGGTATTGAACTCACAACTCTAACCAACACCTTTATCCACTGGGTCATGTGTCCGTGAGGAAACATTGCGAATATGGCAATGAAGATGAGGATAACAGTTCGAATAATGCAAATAATCATAATACCTCATCTCAGCGATGTAGACAGACACCATAATCTACTATGTGCTGACACTTTGGAAAGATACACAAAGTCAGTAAGTCTGGGTTCCACACGCTCTTAGCGAAACAAACCAAGCGGGTTTTTTTTTATAATCAAGACCGAAAATTGTTTATGGGTCAACCTAATAAACAGAATGTTTGGATTTAAATTCTAATTTTCGATGCAGATATTCTGTTTTTGGAAAATTGACAGCAATTATATTATTTTCTCTCACAATGTCGGTTAGTGTCAAACTACGCCAAGCTGTGTAAATCTAATCGCCTGTTCTATGGTTTATTTCCTGATGGCGCATGTGGTCGGTATTTAAATCCAGATAAAAGACGAGAATGCCAAATGCCTAGGTACACGGCTCCTCCTCATTTTGTGAGATTTGGTGCAACACAATCTTCCGTCCTATATCCGGTTACCTTCTTCAGGAAATACATCGGTTCAGTGGAACAGTAAAGTGTCAGTATAGCAGAGAGGTGATACCTATAAAGTCAATAATATCTTGGAAGGACACCGGATATGAGAAAGAAAGAAAGAAAGAAAGAAAGAAAGAAAAAGATAAAAAGAATACATAGAAAGAAAGAGAAACTGAAAGACAGAAAATAGTGAAAGAGTCAAATGAAATGAAAGAAAGAAAAAAAGGACAGAAAAAATAAAGAAACGTAAGTAGGAAAAAAGAAGAAAATAAGGAAAAAAGTCAGACCGAACATTCTTGCTGTAACACTCTCGTTTGTATATGTTTGTATTACTGTCTCTGTTAATATATTTCAAATCCCCTCTCTCTCTCTCTCTCTATCTCTCTCTCTCTATATATATATATATATATATATATATATATATATACATTAAAGTTGAATATATATATATATATATATATATATATATATATATTTACAAATTCATGAATTATTCATACAAAAACAAATACAAAGGTTAATGATTTAATTGGCGAGAAATCCATCGTCGCGAACAATTCAAATAATATACAAACCCCCAAAATATACAAAAAATTGTTCGCGACGATGGATTTCTCGCCAATTAAATCATTAACCTTTGTATTTGTTTTTGTATGAATAATTCATGAATTTGTAAATTAATTGCACCTTTATTGAAATTAAAATAACTGATTCAAATGCAACTTTTGGATAATAAGTGCGACATTACTGTAATTATTGAACAATAAAGTTTATGCCACTTTGACAGAAAATTTACCAGTAAAAAAGAATTCACTTATCACCATATTTGTATAAGAACGCAAAATTGTAAAATTTAAATTCAAACTCAGCGTTGCGACAGCACGCTCCAAAAACAATAACTCATTTCTAATAGCATTTTTCGGATTACAACTATACATATATTTTCATTGTCCTCTTATTACTGAGATCAAAAACAAGAACAAAATCTATTCCATACCTAAGGATGTCTGTAGGAACAGACGAAAGCTTGTAAAAATAATAAGAACTCATGCAACAGAAATTTATAGAAACAAGGATCTTTTCATTCATAAACAGGTTCGGGGTTTTTGTATATTATTTGAATTGTTCGCGACGATGGATTTCTTGCCAATTCTTTCTGAATTACCTCATAGATTTAGTTCTTAAGTTAACCACTAGCAACACTGAACATACAGATAAAAACAATAAAATTAAAAATTTCTACAAAAATCAAAAGCATGGTAGCTATAAGCAGGGTGAAACTTTCTTAGAAAAATGGTAAGAAATATACAACTCCGGTCGCCAAAAAGAAGAAATTTAAATTATCTACTATAAAATAATTTAAAACTGTAAACCTCATCGTCAACAACAATAACTCACCTGCAAGATCCAAATTACAGAGAACCAATATTAATTGCGAATTTGCAGGTCCCTTCAGGAACTGGATTCCTGACAAAACCAAATTCTTAAATATATTAGATAGTATGTATATTGGATATACTACAACATGCCTAACAAGAAGACTCGCATTACATCTCTCTGATCATAGCTCAATTTGTTCGCATTTAAATACACATGGAGATCTACCAAACTCTATCCGCAACATGCTCGTTGATATTAAAAATAGCCTCATCCAATTGTAAAAAGACTAAAAATAATGCAAGAGTTATTTATATATAAAAAAAGAAGCCAACACACAATACAGTCGTCTATGTACACGGCCATAATCTGCTGACCGCGTTTGGCGAATAAAATATTCCTATAACTCTAGATACCTACATAAAAAATCCATACATTCAGTTAAAAGTAAAAATAAAATCGTTCTTGATAATGGGTAAAAGTATAGCCGAAAGCGTTTGGTTATATAAAACATTTGGACAATTTCTACATAATTTATGTCCGGAAAAGAAAATAAAAACATAAAAATTAAATAAAAGCTTAATTGCAGTACCGTGTCAGTCGTTTTTAACGAAACTTGTATATATATATATATATATATATATATATATATATAGAGAGAGAGAGTGGGTAGAGAAAGAAGGGCGAGGGTAAGAGAGAGAGAGGGGGGGAGACAAAGACGGAGAGTGAGTGAGTAAAATCATACTTATTATAAAACCCAGGTTGTGTGTGTGTGTGTGTGTGTGTGTGTGTGTGTGTGTGTGTGTGTGTTTTATATATTGGATCAGATTTCCTACATTTTTCAACCGATTTCAACAAAACTTAACAGGACTACGTAAAATTACTTTGTGGTGGTTCTGACAGCGCCCCAAACTGGAAAAACACAATTGTTTTGCACGAAATCAATTTGAAAACACGATTAAGAGGCATCGCTGTCGAGAATGAAAGAGGGACAACTCATATCGAGTTATACTTATGATAAAACCCAGGTTGTTTGTGTGTGTGTGTTCGTTTATATATGGGATCGGATTTCCTACATTTTTCAAACCGATTTCAACACAACTTCACTTTTTTTTTTTGGCAGGTAGTGTTTCTTATTGTCTTGCACACTTTTTTTTTATTTTTACATTCAGAATGCTTTAAAAATTCCATTTACAAGACAATTGTTTATAATAAAATTCTATTCAATCGGTAGACTCATAACGATTGAAAACAATGTTTTTGTTTGAGTTTGGGTTTGACCAATTCCTAAAAAAAAAAAAAGAAACTAATTAAGACATGCGTGTCTGTCAAACTTAAACAATAATCATTGTCAATTTTATTTTTCAGTCTTTATGATGGTCAATACTTGATCTATCTCTTACTGTTACATCCCCGGGCAACGCCGGGCTCTACTGCTAGTTCTTTATAAATGAAAGAAAAGCGTAAGGGTATCCCCAGTTAGGCGTTCCTTATTCGTTTTCGCTTCTGAAAACAAATCTGTATAGCATTTAAATAGAAACATGGCCAGCCATCAAAGGTTGGAAGGAATAATAATAAGAAGAATGTGAATAAGATAAAGTTCAAAGAGGAGAGACGATCAGAGGCATTAGATAAGCGTTGATATTAGTTGTCAACGCCCGTGGCTTTTGCATTGATTCAGCTCACAGTTAATATTGATTAAAACACTCCAGAATCATCGGCGGCTATTTGATTTCATTTAATTCTGAACTGATCTACGATAAGATCTGAAACGGATCTGATCTGCATCAAGATTTAATATGATATAATCTCAGATGATCTAACGCTATTTAATTACTCTCTCTCCCTCGCACTTTTTCATATGACTCTCTTTCTCTCTCATCTGATCCTTTAATCTGAAAGATTTCACGCAGGTATTTCCCAATGGGATACCAAATGTCACAGTAAATAAAACTGATCTTACGCCTTTAAGTGTATTGGTGTGGTGCTGCCTGAGGGAGCGGATGCTTGGGGGTGGCTGGTGCAATTTGGATCTTGTTACGAAGAACCAAGGACAGAGAAAAATAAGAGATTCTTATGGTATTTACCCACGTTGGGACGTGGACGGAGTATGACACAAGGCCATTTACACGTGAGAGAGTCCCACATGTATCATATAGATGTTAGATAGGTTGGTAAATCAGTAAGTAATGGCTGTTTTGAAATGACGCAGTAAAAATAACAGGGAGGCACTGACGCGCATGCGCTTCGGATGGCAGGTAGCTAGCCGCGAACACCATTCCATTGTTCAGGCGAGTGACAGAGAGCAACAAGGTCAGACGTATGGGTGCTCCACTCAGTGATTGCACCATCGAGGAACAATGCGACGTAGTGCGCTTTCCGTGGCCAGAAATCTATTGGGAATCCATCATGGAAGCAACAGATGCTATATGAGTGGGGAGAACGATTTAAGGCGGGAAGAACA